AGCCATGATACAACTGCTAAAAATAAAAATAAAAATATAATATGAAGAATTGTGCAAGAATAGAAAAACAAAAAACGATGTTTTGTTTCAGAATCCAACATTCGGAATCAGAAGTTTCCTGTTTTGAGTGCAAAAACAATCCCAACAGACCAATAACTGTAAAGTGAAGTTTCACAACACAGACAAGAAACACAGATGTGCAATTACAGCAGAGTATAGTGCAAATGATTGTTTGGTTGAGTAATTACAATGAATAGCAACAGTCTAAAATTTAGACTGTATACGATGTTGCAGCAGCAGGTGTTTAAACACTTATTGTGATTTTTGTAAATACATTGTGAATTTTGGGCGTGGTGTTGGTTATAGAGTCTGACAGCAGCTGGGAGGAAGGATCTGCGATAACGCTCCTTTGTGCACCTCGGATGCAGCTTTATCTTATGAATCAACGTGTTTTATGAAAATAAAACAAATCAAATACTCAAATCTGTGAGGTCTTTCAGATCAGATATGTTTAAAAAACCTTTGGTTTCACCTTCAGTTTGATCAGAAATTAACTGTATTTATTCATCAACCAGAATATATGTATAAAAATAACCTTCATGTGTTTAAACTGCAGGTACCAAGACAAAAATAATAAAAAATTACTCCAAAAAACCTGAAATGCAGTGGCAGATACAGCTAACCCAAAATTTAGCTTTGCTAACCACTGACCTGAAACGTTAAACATTAGCTTTGCAAGCGCTAATCATCATTATTGGAAGCTAACGCTAACTGATAAGCGTTAACTCGAGGTCTGTCATTTAAATCTAGACGTGTGTGATATCCACAGAAACATTAAATGTTGGATAAAGTCTCATAAAAAACATTTTACATCTACCACACACAGTTAAAACCACAGAAGCTGAATCACAAAACGCTTAAGATGCTAACACACACATACACACACAAACACACACGGTGTATGACACAGACCTGCAGCACTGCATGAGGGGAGGGTTTTCTTTGTTTTCCACTAGCAGAACTAAATTTACCAGAAGCTAATTGGTCCGCTATGATTTACGAAGTTAGCAAAAAGGCTAATCTGCTAAATGGAAAGTTAGCTTTGCTGTTAGCGGATTAGCGTAACTGTGCCCACGGCTGCTGATGTGGGTCGACTGTGAACATTCTGTTTCACCAGAAACCTGTCTGAAGCTGCTGCACACCTGGAGAAGAAAAGGTTTCCAAACGAGGGTTCCTGCTCCCACAGGACCACGCTCTCGTGTCTAACATGTTCAAACTAATTCTCTCTTAAAAGTCTCCACGAGTCAGAAAACATACGTTTCTGTGAAAGCAAAGTGTGACTGCTGGCAGACAACTTAGGAACAAACTGGGATCAATTTGCACGAATGTTGCAACAAAAGTGCCTCTTTAACATGATTCCAGGTGAAAATCCACCTGTTTTTCTCTCAGATTTGTGTCTCAAACAGCTGCAGCTCATGTTGTGTCAGGTTATTTCTCCAAACTGAGGCCGTTGATTGAGTTACCTGCAGCAGGTAAGATGTTTATTGGGTTTTTATACAACTTGAAAAGATCTAAACTCTCTTCTTCGAATAAATTTCCATGATTTTATTTCCTACAACCTCTCTTTTTGCTCTGGAGCTCGTTAAGCTGATCTGAGCCTGACAGAAAGGAAACCTTCGTTTCACCCCAGAGACCAAACTGTTGAGCTTCTTTAAGCAGCTCCAACTCTCCAGGTTCAGATAAAAGTCAACGATCTGCTGGTGAAGAAGAACCCAGCAGCTGCAGGAAAAAAAGGGTTGCAGAGGTGATTTGCTCTCTGTTAATCTTAGTTTTCCAGCGTTTGGACTCTTCGCAGCGTAGTTCTCATTATCTGGAGTTAAATTCAGATCAGACGGGCCGAGCCGAGGCTTCCAGGTTTTCTGAACTTTCCCATGAAGCAGAAACAATCCGTCTTCCTGTGGTTTATCTGAGCTTCTCTCTGCGACGCCTCGACTCTTTTATCTGAGGATTTCATCCCACTCCGGACCAGCTGGCCTCCATATTTCTCCAACAGCTTATTTTTTTTTTAAATGGAGCGATCTGCTGAACTTAAAAGGAGATTTTTAGGCTTTTATCCATCATGGTTTTTTTTCCCAGGAGTCTTTGAATTTTCTTGATGACCTCACTTATTACCTTATGCTTTTAAAAAGAGAGGCGATTGATCCGTACAGGAAGTGCTGCACATCAGACGAGCGAGAGGCCAGATTTCACAAAAGTGTCTCCGTCTGTGGATCGTCTGCTCTATGTTCATATTCAGTTGTTAATTCTTGAATAATTAGATAGAAAATATTCAAAAACTTGGTAAACTGGATAAGTTTTGTTTGGTTCAAAGCAGATAAAGCCTGAAAATCCAACACAAATGTTCTTTACAGAAAAATGAAACATGCGTGAACTTGAACATGTTGAATTAAAAAAGAAAATCTCATCTCCTGCTTTAAGTTTTAAACTAAGATCATCTTAAGCTGATAAATCGCAGCTAAAACCGTTTTGGACATAACTCAAAATTAACTTTGTGTTAAATTTATTCAACAAACAAAACAAACGACATCATCAAACCTCAGCGATCACAGAGAACCAGACATGGCGTGAGAACACACAATGATACGATGATGAGAAGATGAGGGAAAATACTAAACCCAGACCAAAACAAACCGTTTTCTGCACAAAGTGTGAACGACTCTCAGCTACTACCACACCTCAACAAAAGGACTGGGTTCTGTGTCTGGGTTGGTTAGCTGCCATCTTAACCCGTTTATCAGCTTTAAACTCACTGCAGAACATTAGCTACAATCACGTGTCAAACTAAAAGCCTGCGGGCCAAATATGGCCTGGCACAGCTTTTATGTGGCCCACATAAGCTCCTTTGAAGGGCCTGTGACTTGCTTATCCTTCAAATACAAAAAGTCAAAGAAAACATTTATATTTAAGAAAATTAGCATTACATACACAATTTTACCCATTTTGTCTCATAACTGGCCTATTTTGTCTTGGATTTGGCTCAGCAAAGGGAAACAGGAAGTGACATCAAAGGGGAAATCTTTAAGAGAAGAAACTCTGGTCTTTGTTTATTGAAACAATCTTATTTAAACTCTTCTTGGACTCTAATAATGACTCAAAATAATCTAAAGAAACATCAGATTCTTCTCTAATTATTGTAGCATCGCTCTGTTCACTGTCAGACATTCCCCTTTGACATCACTTCCTGTTTCATCACATGAAAATATCTCAACAACTTTTCATCTCAATGATGTGAAATTTGTTTTGCAATACGTTGACAATGTTTTCTTTCCAAAAACGCATTCACATTTATTACAAAAATTTGATGCCACAGGCACTTTAAAGCCATAAACTACATCTCCCATAATTCATGTCATTTACCTTTGAAATGACGGCATCCCACCACTAGGTGGAGCTGCACGTGGTTTGAAAGTGGCTGGTGAAATTTGCTGCGTAAAATCTCCATTTCTATGCATTTTCACCTGCTACTTCTGCTGCAGCTCAGTTGTACTGAGAAGTGGGACTTTCCTATTTATATGTCGTAAATTTGAATAGGAACTAGTGGGAATTCCCTGTGGGAAAGTGGGAGAGTTCAGAATTCTACTCAACACAACTTAGCATGAGTCAAACTATTAATTTTACTTTTAATAGTTTTTCTGCTTTATTTACTTCACATTTATAGTTGTACACGTAGCACTTTTCAGTGTTTATAAGAGGAAGCGTTTAAATGCTGTTTCTATCCAGGAAATACCAGGTAGAGCTCAGTTTATTAGCAGGGCTTCATGTTTAGTCGAAGTTAAACACAACATTTCAAAGTTAATTACGACCATAACCCCGTAAGTGTCAATAAAATCCACCCACTGGTTCATTAGATATTTTGCTAACAGACAAAGAAACAAACATGCAAACAGTCAAAAACATAATTACCCATTTTTCAATAGCAAAAATTACATGCTTTAACTTTTTTAAAATTAGTTTTTCACACATTTCTCATGATTTTTGTACGTTTTAACTGTGTTCATGTGAAAAAAATGTAACTTCACGTTTTATAACTTTTTTAACATTGATTTAAAACATCACTGTAAAACTCCAAGATGACAAAATATTGATGTTTTGAAGTAAAAACTGCTTAAATAGGGTTAAGAGAGAGAAAATAAATGTTAAGGCTGCAGCCAGTGGCTCATTATGATCACCATGGTACTCAAACAACCAGTCAATGAAAACCCACAAGTTTTCCTGACAGAAACGTCCGTTTGTCACAAAGTTTCTGAAACATTTAATGTCAAACTTAAAGAGGAGTTAAAGAGAGACTTCACTTCCTGTTTCCAGGTGAAGCTCCTCACCTCAGACACAATGAAAGAGTTTAGATGTGAAACCTGCTCTCTGGGGACGTTTGACAGGAAGCTACAGTAAATGTCACGAAGCCGACTGATGTGAAAACTGTAACAGGAGAGCGAAAGTTTGAGTTTATCTGTAAAAGTTTTATAAAGTTCAGGCAGCTGAGAGCGCCGTGACATCATCGCGCTCTGATCATCATAAAACTTAAAACCACGATTGTTTAAAAGCCGTTAAAGTCCAACAGTTTGTGACTCGTTCAAACACGAGGAGCTGTTTCTGCTGAACTCTGTCTGAGCTGCAGAGATCCACAGCTTTTCTCACATTCAGACTCTGCCCAGAAAGATACCTGGTTGGGATTTGATCCGGCAACCTTCTCGCAAAGAGGCGACAGCTCTACCAACTGAACCATCTTTTCTCTCTCGTTTGCTTTTGTCAATGCTTTGGTACCAAAACCCCTCAGCAGCCCCCTTCACCAGCACAGCTGAGGAAAGCTTGTGGCCTCGAGGTGGGAACGACAGCTTGGATAAAAACAGCAAACGTGTCACTTCCAACACTCCTCAAGGTCAGGAGCACAAAAAGCACAACGCTGTTGTGTGCTTTACTCAGAGCTGAACGCTGAGACTCACTGCGTTGAATCCTGGGAAGAGGCTGATGGCAGAGGCTGCGTCCAATGGGATCGGGAGGAACTGCTTCACGCCCATGGAGGTCTGGACCGCAGGCAGGGTTGGACGCACCAGAGCGGGCAGGAGGCCATTTTGACATGTGTTACCTGGAGGGAGGGGGGAGCGAAAGACAACGTGAGGAAGAGGAGACACCAGACGGACCAGAATCCTCACTGAGTCCGTGTCGTCGTCATCATCATCATCGCCCCCCTCGAGTCTTATTAGTCATCATTCCTGCTGTTTAACACCTGAGCCACCAAAATCTGCAGAGTCAGCACCACCTCTCCCTGTAGAGCTCAGAGCACAAAGTCATTTAAATTTAATTTATGACTTTTTATTTTTAGACATTTGGGAACTAATGGCGTGGAAATACAGGTTTAGTGGTTTCAGTCACCGAAGGTGGGAAGATTTTAGATCGTTTTATGTCAAAGTAAATATAATTTCGCAAAAAAATCTTTAAATGTTTCCAAGTTTTAATACAAAACAATCCATATTTTTATATATTTCTGAGGACACTGCGTTTAATTAAAGCTTTACCAACAAAGATGATAAAAAGTCAAACGCAACAAAAAAAAAATCTGCAGGTAGATGATGACGGCCAGTTAAATGGTGAGTGCAGGGACGTGTGAGAGGTTTGCATTTTGTTACAAACGCTTCATGATAAGCAACGTGTGAGAGCTGGCCGGGGCATTCATGTAAATAACGTGACCATAATTCATTAGTGCTAGGAAGTCTGCACACACGAGATCTTTGCAAGTCACAACAGGGAATTGGGAAATATTTCTTTAAAATATCCAAGTTTAGGTTCAGTTCTAAAATAGGGTCAATGTGATATCTGAAGGAGAGCTTTGATCGACAACACTGAGATATTTATACGTCCCTACAAACTACATAGATAAAACATTAAGACCTAACAGGAGGTATAGGTTGTGGGACTTTTTTTCTAACATCTTTGTTTTGTCTGCATTGAGAATGAGTTTAAGTTTAAATAATTCTAATTAGATGGAGTCAAATACAGACTGCAGACACTCAACCAATGATAATGACTTTTCATAACAATAGATGAAGATGTCGTCAGTGTATAATTGCATACTGACCTCTGTACCTAACATTGTTGAAATAAATTGAAAACCGTAAAGGACCCAGAATGGAACCTTGTGGGACACCTTTCATAATTAGATCACTGTGTTGTGCACTGTTGACATCCAGACAGATAATTTAAAAAACTGACCTATTATTACTGTCACGCCAGAGTTTAAGCTCAAAATGTTAGCTATGAGCATTAGCATGATTTGTCCATTAGGTAATGGGATATTTTACTAACAGATGCACCGGGTGACTGAAGCTATAACTGGAAATGTTGGATATAAACTTTTAAATGTGAAATAATGCCGCATATGTTTGTCTGGTAAGTAATATAATAGTTAATATAATTATACACAAATAAAAACACATCAACAATCTATAAAAAAATGCTGAGACACATGTCAAACATTAGGACTGATCAAAATGGTATAAAAGTTCAATCTTTTTTAGTTTTCCTGTTTTGTGGAAGCAGAAGAAAGGATCAGGACTGAAGCCGAGGCGGCAGGAGTAACACTCCGTCTCACAGCTTGTAAACACTTCCTGCAGTCGGCTCATTTTCCCCTCACAGTTCAGTTTTTTTCACACAGATCTGAGCTCCTCTCTGGTCCTGGGAGTTTTAATGATGAGTTAAGAGGAGGCCCTCGGGGCGAAACACTGAAAGCTTCAGGGTTATTAATTTGTTGTAAAAACTGGGCTTTTTAAAATATTTTCATCATAGTTTTGTACTTAGATTTTACATTTTTTTGGTATTTAATTCGATCTCTTCTCTCATATCTTTGAAGCACGATCAATACGGTGGTCCGAGAGTTTCTGCAGAACTCCAAGTCAAATATTAATTGGCAAACCTCTGACGCTGAACTTTCTGCGGGGAGATGTGTGATAGATTTTTTTAACGATGATTTATTTGTGAAGATTACAGCTGCAGACAAACGAACAGATCGCCTCAGAGTTTGATCTGTTTTCTTCTGCTTTTAAGGGAAATTCAAGCAGGAATGATCCAGTTCAGTATGATGAGAGGCTACAGTTTGAGATATGAAACAAGACGTGTTGTTTAATATGAGATGTTACGTCATAAATACAGTTTGACTTTTTAAGATTCATTTTGATACCAAACTTCTGAAAAATATGTCTGAATACTGATTTTTATCAAATTCTATTAATTCATCCATCATCCCTGCATCCATCCATCTATCCAACCCTTCATCCATCCATCCATCCATCTATCCATCCAACCCTTCATTTGTCCATCCATCCCTCTATCTAACCGTCCATCCATCCATCCATTCATCCATCCATCCATCCATCTAACCATCCATCCAACCCTTCATCCATCCATCCATCATCCATCCATCCATCATCCATCCATCCCTTCTTCCCTCAATCTAACCATCCATCCCTCATCTAACATCCATCCCTCCAACCATTCATCCATTCATCCATCCAACTATCCCTCCTTCCCTCCATCTAACCATTCATTCATCCATCCATCTCTACCATCCAACCATCCATCCCTCATATAACCATCCATCCATCAGCTAACCCTCCATCAATCCCTCCATCTAACCATGCATCCATCTATCCACCCAACTATCCATCCATCCTTCCATCCATCCATCCCTCCTTCCCTCAATCTAACCATCCATCCCTCCATCTAACCATCCATCCCTCCAACCATTCATCCAACTATCCCTCCTTCCCTCCATCTAACCATCTATCCATCCGTCCATCCATCATCTAACCATCCATCCATCCCTCCATCTAACCATCCATCCATCCATCCATCCATCCATCTAACCATCCATCCATCCATCCATCCATCTAACCATCCATTCATCCATCCTTCATCTAACCATCCATCCATCCAACCATCCATCCATTCCTCCATCTAACCATCTATCCCTCCATCCATCTAATCATTCATCTGTCAATCCTTTAAGTTGTATGTCAGTCCAACCATTCAATTATCTTTAGAGTTAACCTTACTGCAGATGTCTAAATCCTATTTTTATCACATTTTTATGAGAATTTCTTGACATCGTTTAAAAGAGGAAAGCTTAAACCGTATAAAGATAAAGGGATTTTCCAGCTGAAACATCTGAAACATTTAAGGTTTTTCTGCTCAAAATCATTTAATTGTTGGTATTGCGCAGAAAAATGCTTAAGAACATTCTTTAGATTTATATTTCATATATTTCCTTCAAGTAACTCAGAGATAAAATATTTAGTCATCATAGTTTGGCAAAACTTCAGCTGGTTATTTCTCACTACTTCTTCGGTTTGATGTAACGGGTCACAGATGGTTCAGGTTCGGCTTTGGTGGTTTGACCACAAGAAATGCCTCCATGAAAATAAGACACTGCTTGAGTGAGTAACAGCATATGACACTATCAGATGACATAATTGGAAACATACACAACTCAAACCCAGTCATTTTGACAGATTTGAAGATAAAACTGAATGATGAGAGTTTCACAGCAACAAATCTTATGAAGTTTTGTTCTTTAGTTCTAACCCAAAATTGCTTTATGTCTAACTTGAAAGACTGAAACGACAATTACAAAATGACTTTAAGACATTTGAACACCAACATTTTTAAATTTCTTTTTAGTTTTTATTCTTATAAAATCTGTTTTTGTTTAAAACTCTGTCATTTTGTGGCTGCAAACCTGTAGATTTACTGATCCCAATCAGAGGTAATCCCAATCAGAGGTAAACATTTTAACAAGGAACAGGTATAAATAAATAAATAAATAAACAAACAAATAAATAAATAAATACAACAGGTGCTTTTCTCCTTAAAGTCGTCACCACAATCAGCCGACGTATTAAAAGCTGCTCAGAGCGTCTCAGAGACCCAACCTGTGAATCTGTAGGAAAAATAAAAGTAAGTTTTATTGTCAAGTGAGAGCGCCACACCAGCAGAAAGCTTTCCTAATCACCAGGCCTGGTTTCAACAAAAAAATAAAAACTGTTTCTGCTTTCCAAAACATTAGGAATTAAAGAAGCTGTAATGAGAACTAGAGAGACGTTTTTTTTAACTTTCCCTGTGTGAAACAGAGGATCCAACAGACTCTGAAGTTCTGGCATCAAACTGCTGTCATAAGACAAATAAAACTGATGTTTGCCACGTTTCAGTCCCCAGGCCGCGGTTAGGGCTACATAAAAAAGCTAAAGTCATAAAAACAAGCAGAGAATTGGGAGAAACCACAATCTGAGGTTGGTCTCTCTCTCCATCTCTCTGTCTCTCTCTCACTCCATTTTGTTGCCATCTGTTGAGAGAAGGTGCCGACTTTCATGTGTCCCTGTGCCGAGTCCTGCAGGGATCATCCAAGCATGTTGCCATCGCTCCACATGGCGGCCTGACGTCAACCATCAGGCTCACCTCATGTTCCTGACAGCCAAACCCACCGTTCATCAACAGTCAGCTCAATCCTATTGTCCATCTACCACCTCAATTCCATCATCCATCTACAACCACCTCAATGCCATCATCCATCTACAACCACCTCAATCTCATCATCCATCTACAACCACCACAATCCCATCATCCATCTACAACCACCTCAGTCTCATCATCCATATACAATCACCTCTATCCCATTATCCATCTACAACCACTTCAAACCCATGATCTATCTACAACAATCTGAATTCCATCATCCACCTGCTGAATCCCATCATCCATCTACAACCAACTCAATTCCATCACCCATTTACAACCAGCTCAATCCCATCATCCATCTAAAACCAGCACAATCCCATCATCTATCTACAACTAGCTCAATTCCATCATCCATTTACAACCAGCTCAATCCCATCATCCACTACCTTAATCTCATTGTCCATCTACAACCACCTCAGTTTCATCATCCATCTACAACAACCTCAATCCCATCATCCACCACTTCAATCTCATTGTCCATCTACAACCACCTCAATCCCATCCTCCACCAGCTCAGTCCTATCATCCATCTACAAGCATCTCAACCCCATTGTCCATCTACAACCNAACCACCTCAAT